TTTATAAACATATGTTACGAGTGATGAATAAATAACCATCTCAGTCAAGGAAGAAAAAAACCCAAAACAAATTTAGATTTACTAAAGAAACTCGCAAAAGTAACGCTCAATCCAACTTTGAAAAGATAGACAAATGCAAAGCTGTCAAGCCCATAACGCCACATTTTAAAAGATGGACAAATGCAATGCTGTCAAGCCCATAACGCCACATTTTAAAAGATGGACAAATGCAAAGCTGTCAAGCCCATAACGCCACATTTTAAAAGATGGACAAATGCAAAGCTGTCAAGCCCATAACGCCACATTTTAAAAGATAGACAAATGCAATGCTGTCAAGCCCATAACGCCACATTTTAAAAGATGGACAAATGCAATGCTGTCAAGCCCATAACGCCACATTTTAAAAGATGGACATGTCAAGCCCATAACGCCACATTTTAAAAGATGGACAAATGCAATGCTGTCAAGCCCATAACGCCACATTTTAAAAGATGGACAAATGCAATGCTGTCAAGCCCATAACGCCACATTTTAGCTCACCGTCACGTGACATAGTCATGAATCATCAATTGCCGTGGTGTATAATATTGTAATTATAATTAATGTAAATTCACAAAGAAATTAACACTGAAACAAATTTATGCAAAACAGAGTCAATTTAGCAGGCGGTTGGGCTCCCCACCCCCTCTTTGAAGAAGTATTATATTTACAATTCATATGCCAATATGTGAACTTACTATTTGTTAGTCCTAATCCCTTATTTACTTATTCTATCAGTACCATAGTAGCAGATAAAATAAGTTATCAATGACATCTAAAAATATAAGGTATTGTTGATTTACAAATCTTTACTACGATACAGCCAACAATAGGCCTATTATTTATGCAACCTTGTTTCTCTCTCTAATGTATAAGTAAATCAATCATCGATAATTTTCCAGCGCTGCACCTCAATTATGGAACTCTCTTCCTGAGGACATCAAATTATCCCTACTATACAGAATATCAAGAAAACATTGAACACACATCTTTTCTCAATCGCCTATCCTGAGCGCCACTGAACATTAATCTCGCACTATGGATATTGGCGCTTTATAAATGCTTGATTGATTAAAATAATGAAATATTATTATTATTAAATAATAATTATAATTGAAGTCTAAGCCGGAACTGAACACACAGACTGAGGTGCCCACCAAACTTTCCTTGAGGTGTCGACCTGATAAAAACCAGAAAGACAGAAAATTATCGCCAACAAAATTAATAAAGCAAGTAGTGTTACATCAGAAAAATGACTATCAGATACCAGTGAGGGGCAGGCTACTAATTTATTTCCCAACAGAGAAGTAGATTAATTGGATTTTTTTTGGTGTAAACACTAAGGATAACCTACGAAAGTCTGAAGGAGACTTATTTCCAGTGGGGTCCTTCTGGTGGTGATTGGGCAGTACACCGGAAGACAACCCCACTCTTTTCCGAAGAGTGTACTGTGTTCTTTAACGTGCACATGGACCATAATGTACACGGAACCAACGGCTAAACGTCTCATCCGAAAGAAGATGCGCTAACGTAACATGCATTCCGCCCTCCAGCTGAAATACAAGAAGAGCCAGTAGCGGATCCTGGAATTCAAAATATAGGGGGCCCAGGGAGGTAGCTTCAAAGATGGAGGATCTATAGGCCTATCACCTGTATCAAACCCAACATGGTTGGGGCTGAGGTAAGAAAATTTGTGATTATGGTACCTCTGATGGCCGGAAATTGCACTCTCAGACTTAAATTTTAAATATAATTTTCTTTATATCGCCATTAAAAAAATATTGAACAATTTAGGGGCTGTCTCTTATACACATCTAGGCTGGGTCCCCCTTGAATCCGCCACTGAGAGCAGTGATGGGAATTCAACCGGGGACCAAGGGATCTCCACGATTCAGCGCGCACACAATGGCTACCATCAGTTTAGTCGACTGAGCTGAACTGCTCTCTTATCCATCCCACCAGATTTGAATCTCCACAGCAAATCGTAGACCTGCTAAACACGAATCAGATACAAATTCAAATGGCTCAGTGATGATGAAAATACTTACAGATCGTCATTAGGCCTAGCCTATAATATTTATGAAAGTCAACTTCTATACATGATCAATTTGGTTTCAGAAAATGAAATGCGACTATACTGAATCTTCTAAAACAACTGCAAAAGAAATGTAAAAGTCTAATTACAAGCTATTTTACGTGTGATATACAGTAGTAGACATCTCTGTACACAGAAGGATCACATTACAGACAAAAAAATGCCCTGCAGTCTCCCCCACTGGAATTTTCAGAGCAACATAAATACGCTCAAGTAGTTAAAAATCCCATTATTTTGTAATACAGTAGCATCTTCGTTTTAATTTCGGTCAGCTCCTCACCCCATGTAGGCTAAATACTCTTAGACATGCCACTGCAAACAATTTCTTTTCACAAACATAAAGAATAGATTTCTCCTTGCAGACGTTAAGAAAATCTTCCAAGTCTATTTAGCAATCATCATACACAGCTACAGAATATTGTATATATATATATATATATATTTTATCGAATGTATTATTCAGTAAAGTTGGACATTGGATTTTTGTCCCTGTACTCTTAATTTAGACGTGTACGGTAGGCGTCTTAAAAAGGACAGATAAGCCTCATGACAAATTAGAACTGGTTGCAAGAAATCTCTTTATTTTAAATATTTATAATAGGCCGATATCATTTTATAATTCAAGGTAAATAAAAGATGTTTTTATTGTGATTATTATTATTATTAGGCCTACTATTATTATTATTATTAGCATTGTAATTATCGTCATCATTATAGTCTTCATCATCATCATCATCATCATCATCATCATCACCATCACCATCACCATCACCATCACCATCACCATCATCATCAGCATCATCATCATCATCATACATAATATTTTCCTACTAAAAAACTATTGGGAAAAAATTATTAAAGTAATTTATGATGACTCTAAACCTGATCTAGTTTAATGTTTTATATGATATTTTTTTTTTCGGAATTAGTGCCTTATATCCACCGAAAAAGGCGCGGTAGTAAATACCTGGACATTACATTACTTTATTACATTTAGTATTTGACTTATAGATTTATTATGTAAATTTAATCGCAATCAGAATACTGATACATCATAGTTTAAGTTACAAGTAACTGCAGACTACTATCGATGAGAGGGCAGTATGATCCCATTGCTTTAATAATTGCCTAATTGCCATGTTTATCTAACCCTTATTAATATTCCTGACAGTTTCGTTAGAGTAACAAATGACTTGACAGCAAATATCACAAAAAGTGTCATTAAAAAACTAAATTTAAATAAAATAATTATTAGAACATGGCATGAATGTGGCATGGTTATGAAAGATGAATATGCGCAGTGGACGGTTGGACTTTTAGGCGCCAAATTAGCTGTAACTTTAGGATTTATGTGTTAAGTAGGCCTATTGTTGTTTAAGTTCTATAGTTTGCTAGTTGATATACTTTAGTCTCTGTAATGTGTTTTGGAAGTGAGTCCTCTCGGGACGCCTTCAGTCGACTACGTTAAAGCTACGTTCACATCAAATCCCGGATCCGGTAAGATTGAAATATGTTAAATACAGACACAATGTATACATAGGCCTAGTTTTAGAGTCCAGTTAAAATATGTAAATATCATGTATCGAAATGATATACTTATTTATATAGGCCTATTTATATAAATATTATGCGTAAATATGTAGGCCTATTTAGTAAAACAAATTAAAATTAACGAAAATACGGACAAAGCATAGGGAGAAAGAATAGGAAAGAAATTTGGAGCAAATACTGAGGCCCTATTTACACATAATATTTATGCAAAATATATATAAGTATATCATTTCGATACATATTTTAATAGGGTTGTAGACATTGACAAAACTTCCACACCAGAGGAATGCAATGCCAACTTGGATTTTGATCTTAGTTCAGAGATCAGTTTATCAGATGGGGATAATGAACCGGTTGCTAGAAAAGGCACCATTGTGATATCTGTCATCCCATGGGGAAAGTAACCAGATGATCAAACGCGTTAATCCGAATTGCCCATTCGAGATGCCCACGTGCAACCCATGCGACACTGTTACTTTTATAAATGAGCAAGGTATCACCTATGGCCAAGAGATTTCAGAATAAGATCCCGCAAAAAAGAAATTATTGATTATGTATGATTTATAGGGAAATTGTTAAAAGAGGATATATCAGAATGCAGTCAATCAACTGGCAACCAGGGCAGGCTTGTTTTGCAGTTTTCCTCCGACGCAGGGTTCCCGGAAGGCCGCCCTCAGCGGCGTGTGCGAAGCACAACTCTAAGTCAGAACCTGGAATTTGGATTTGGTTTTGTAGTCAAATTTGCGAGAAAAACTTCGCATTTCTCGAGTGAAGCGTCAATGAGAGCTGTCATTTGTATGGCAATAAACTGTGGATAGCGACGTGCTTTACTTACAGAGATTCCTCATCAGTGTTGTTTGGAATGCATTCTCTATGGTCGATCACAATGCCAAACGGACAAAAGCCGCGAGAGCCGTTACTCAATGGAGCATTGTATAACAATCAAGATGTGATTTTGCGACGATGATAATGATTATAGAATGGAGGATACCACGCTCAGAGCATTGTCAGAGCCACTGGCCTGTTACCAAGTTCCACCTGCTATCAAGGCACTAAGGGAAGCCTGCCACCAAAACAAAATAGTGGTTGCAAAACAAACCTGTCACAAAATAAGCATGCTCTAAAAGATCAGAAAACTGTACAAGTCACATAAAAATGATGTTGAATAATGAATTGATTTGACTTAGCTTGCATTCATTCATTCCTAGTAGCCATCATATCAATTATGATGAAAACAGATCCTCTGCAAATACACACCTCATCAAACTTGCCATTAACACGCATAAGAGATTTTCATACATGATAGCAACCTCAATTTTGATCAGTTTGCCAGGTAGTTTACCTGAGGACTCGTAACCTAAGCATGTATATCATCACATGTATGGTTACAAATCCGTTTAATATTAATCTAAGCAAAAAAATTTTTTTTTTTAATGTGATCTTAAGTGTATCTGCCAGGCATTCTTTGATTTGTTCAACCATGTTTGTATTGCTATAATCTACGATTACCGTTAATTAGTACCGTTTAAAATATTACAGACTGCCAGCTAGTGTCTGAGAATTCCTACAAGTTCATATTTCTTATAAGAAAGTATAATACATACTCCAAGTATTGAAATACACGCCATCGTGTTGGGATTCAATATTTCGACATTAATTATGTCATCATCAGGAATCATCATCATTCATATTTCTTCGTAAGGGATTGAATGTGCTAGTACATTCCAATGATCTGTATTTCATCTGGTCAAATATTGTACAAAATGATAAAGGAGAAGGTATAGATATTTAATTACATTTATAAATTGCATTTAAGATGAAACTTTGGTTTGGGTTAAATATTACTTGATCCAAGTCTTTTGGTGATACAGAACCTAATACCTGCTTTTATTTGATGATTTATAACAAACTAAAGACAGTATTAACTTATCTATCAAGCTAGCCATAAAAATGTTCCTAGCAAATATGAAGCCAGCAGTAAACTTTGTGTGTTGACTCTATAAGTTGCCTAACTCAAGTCAGACCAAGACCAGTTGCAACAACGCCATTGTTTGTACCTGTTTAGGGCTAGCATTTGCTCAAATACAACAAATTATTGTTAATATAATTGATGCAGATCTATCTTTATATACTACAGTATGTATCATTTATTTAATTAGGCCTCTGATACTGTATTCTGTTCATATTTTATTCACTGTTGTTTGGTCATCAGTAACAGTGTCCCATGCTCTGTCAGTATACTTTAACGGTTTTCTTTGCTCTTATATTATACTTTATTATTTAATTTCCAAACCCAGTATGTTACAAATTTAATCGTGCGAGAAATCCACTCATGATAACCACGTCTTTTCACAAACTGCACCTTTCTAAATCATTTCAAATTGATCTTTAGAACATTAAAGTGAAAAGAGCAGAATCTTCTGATTGTTTATGCTTCAATTGATATTTATACCAATCAACTACTCTATAGGCATACATAATTACTTATTATAAACATGCAAAATAATAATTACGTCATTTAGGTACCGGTAATCAATGTATGACCCCTTGTAGGAGTAATACTTATATAAGGAGTATTATAATAATCGATACTTTAGGATAAAACAATAGAATGGTATCTTCGTCGTTATGGGAATAAGTTGCGGATTTGGATGAAATAGGCTGTCGCAAAATATTTAACCACTGACAGGCAGCGTAACATCTTCAATCACATCGTTTACGCCTGCTTTGAGGATGGCATCTGAACATTGTTTAGTAAGCACCTGCGTGCAAAGCGAACTCATGTCACCCGGATTGCAAATCGCAGCTTTACATTTCACTAAAATCTGAAAGATGAAATATCTTAAAACTAAAACATGTATATAATGTTTACAAGCATGTTGCCGTAAGATGTGTATAAGAGACAGTATATATACATTGTATGTATGTGCTCAATAAGAATTGCTAGCACTGTTATTATTATTTATTTATTAGAATTAATAATAGAATATTTTAGACTTATATAGTGCTTAATGCATACAAGGCCTCTAAGCGCTTCACACTATCACCCCTGGTCACAGGATTAAGCACGTATGGAACACATACTCAGCTCCCTAGGCAGAATTCCATTGTTGCAGCTGTAATCAGTGCATTTTGCGTTTGAACCTACCAGGTACCCACTTATACTTCTGGGTGGAGAGTGACCACTGTAGGGAAAGTGCATTGCCTATTAGGGGTACAAGCAAAATGCACAGAGAAAGAAGAATTGAACCTCCGACACCTCAAGGTAGATAAGCAGAACCGCAACTGCTGTGTCAAACCGCCTCCTACAACATAGAATGATGTTTATGGTGCTACGCAGAAAACTAAATTTGAATACCATCTATAGGTTTATTATGATTTCCCAGTTGTGGACCTACATAATAGGTTTGTGACTGTAGGCCAATCTTAACTGTATGAATGTATAAGTCAGTCATATGAGAAAATGTATATACGGGTTAAATCTGCGTCTATATTATATGGGTCTCTGTGGTCTAGCGATATGACACTGGCCCTGATAGCGCGATATATATAATGTGTGTGTGTGTGCGTGTGTATTACCTCTTCTGTTGATCCATAAAACAAGAATCTAAATGCTTTTATCGAAAACCTTTTTTCATATATTGAGTATGCCTGCTCAACTCGAAAGGTGCTGTCCACGGGACATCTAGGAAAAATGATAACAACATGTTACATGGTTCTAAGTGTCCTAACATTTACTTTTTTTATATTTGTCATAATAAACATACACAAATAAGATTAAATAATAATAACGGTATTCATATTTGTATAGGTGTAATTTTTGCCCTACTAAGGTATTCATATTAAAACAACGGTGACCTTAATCCCACTCTTCCCCCACCCCCACAAAAAAAAAAACACTAAAAAGGTCTGGGTAAGAAAAAGACAAGCCATGCAACTCTAACACATCACTGAATTAATGTAATCCAGCAATATCTTGAAGAAATATTATACTAAATAATAATAAGATCGACACAAAAACAAAAAATGAAATGCGACAGAGTTGAAAGGAAAAATCAGTACCAGCACAAGAAAACAAATTTTTGTTCTTATATCGACTTCATTATACTTTTATTTACTGTAGGACCATAATCTATATAATTCTGCTAATCGCCACCACGTAACTTCACCTATCTCCTCTGAAACATCTGGCAGGAATGGATATTGGATATCAATGAAAAAAACAGCCAAATACCACTGAAAAATCAGTACTGGTACCTGTTTCACCATGTTTCGCAAGTTCCTTATGTAAATACAATAGTCACATCTATTCTGTGCTGCAATGCTTAGGTCTAAAAATCATTGGCAGCTGTAAAAGAACCAGTCTATGTTTCGCAGCTTTAATACGTCACTGTGCAATACTTGTCACGTTCGTCAACAAAATAAGTGACAAGCATGTTGCCGTACCTCTTCGGAGTACCCATTGCATTAAATACTGGATATTATTGTAATGTATTTTTATGGCTACCTATCCTCTATCTCTCGAATCCTGGTTGATTTGGATGGTGCATATTAAGATAGATTGCGACACTAAAGTTTAAGTTAAGGGTCAAGCCAGCTACACTAATCAATACCTTGAATTTACGTAAAGACGCCGGGACAATGTTTATCTACGGGTTCTTTTGAATGTCAGTAATTCGGATACATAGCCTTACATGCATGAAAAACACCTCTCTCATGCCCAACTAGGGCCTACTGATTTACTGCTGTACTGTACTCCCACTTACAAGAGAGTAGCCCAAAACAACAGGGGAAGATTCAGTAGGGGAGAGGGATGTTACAGGGAGGGGCTCCCACCCATTTTGCCAATAATTTTTAAAATATTTCAATGCAATATATGTGTTATTCGCTTTATTAAATTATTCTGAAACTGTTGTGTGCCCCCACCCCCGTTTGAAACATTCTGGATCCACCCTTGATTGCACACTTTGCTCACAAGGACTACAGTATTCACCAAAGACACTCGAAACATTAACAACAAAGACGTCCTTTAGAAAAATATTGACAAGGTAACTATAACATCAACTTCCCCATTCAATAATGTACATCATCGCCACCTTTCCCCCACTCATTTATTTTTCCATTATTGTGATAAAAGCGTAGGCCGTAAATGTTACATTGCAGCAGCGGCGAAACGTTTTTTAAAGTGTCGGGGGGGGGGGGGGCGGCGTAGCCATTTCGTAAGGTAAAAAATCCATTATGCGAACGAAGCGAACATCTAGGTTGGGGGGGGGGGCAAGTGCCGCCATGGTATTGGATATGGATATTTGACGAAGTTTGGTGAATTGTATTAGTTATTTTATAGTCATCAAGCTACTGTAATATGACTTATGTGCTTACCCATCTTCAATGAACGTATAACGTTCACCTTTGCATCCTGGCATTTGTTTTTGAGTTGCCGTGCAACTGATGATCTGAAGATCTTTGGTATTATCCACTGCTTCCAAACCGAAGAACAACCTCTCCTTCAGTTCAACGGATGTTGGTAAATCCTCTTTTGTATATTCGCGGCTATATGTAATGTCCTCATATAGTTTCAACAAAGTGTTGAGTCTAGATTTTCCTTCAACAGCAAATGCTTCCATGGCGTCTGATGGCGTGAAGCTAACATCGTAGTAACTTATACCCTCGACTTCACACGTAACATTGATTTTGACTCTCCGCTGAGTTCTGGTGACTGGGAGCCCTTCTGCAATTGCTTTAGGCACGTCACTTACAATGTTTTTAAAGATTAGCCGCCCAGGAGTTGGTTCCTTCAGATAAAAGTAAAAATAGTATTTAGTTTAACATCAGTGCAGTGTTAGACGTATTGATTAAAAATTCAAAATTGTCGAAAACACACAGGTTCTATGGCATTTATATTGATTATACCTGTGAAATTGAGGTCCCAGTTACCAGTAATGATGATCAGAAAACTGTGTTGTACTAAAAACCCCAGTTGCTAAACCCATTTGGTCTACTCACCTCAGCTATAGTGCCACATTCTTCAAATCCTGTTGTCATTTTGTAGTGAGTGGAGTTATATGGTTCTGCATAGCAGGTATCGATGAATCTGAGCGCATTGGCTGGTACGCCCTCTACATAAGCAAGTGGGACGTACACGGTCAGACTAGAAGGACCACACTCCACTGTCGGATCAGGGATGGGTGCTGAATAGTAAAAATTAGATGTGAAAAAAGAAAACAATAAATTTTGTTTAATTTCATTAATCTGTTTTGCTTTACTGTATTAGTTTCTGTCTTGGGGCACTATACTAAAATGGCAATGTTTTGTTTTTGTAGTCACTACTGTACATAAACTCTTGGTTTAACAAATTGGTCGAGGTCTTACTACAGACATTGAAGGGATGTTTTAATAATTGATAGGGGATTGCCAATCAAGTAAAATACAAATTTTTCAAAATGTTAAACTGGGAAATTTGGAATATTTATGCCCTGTTTTCCCCCGTTTTTAATTTAAAAGATCTTTTTAGATTCATTTTTAGAGTCATTGAATCACAACTTGGATACTTTAGAATATTCAGCCCAGTTTTCGCTAAATATAGCAACAATTATTTGTGCGAACTTGACTAATCAACTGGGGATCTATCCATGGCTAGGGGCGGATCCAGAAATTTTCTGCCAGGAGGCACAACAGGGTGTCCAGACCCACGTCATCCCCACCATTTTTTGGGCTGAGATAAACAAATTTTAAGAAAAGGCACCTAGAAATGACACTCTCAGACAGTAAACTTAACCACCATTTTCCCATAGTTTTTAAACATTCAAAAATTAATCTCATTAACTGTTCCTGAGTTTTTCGTCAATATGCTTTTTGTGTCTTGTACAACATACCGTATCAAAACATACCTGCCAACATTTGAAAGAGGAAAAGAGGTGGTAGGAATATATTTAGCAGACAGTGTGTAGCACCATCCTAGGGCGAAGCCCGATGGGGGGGGGTGGGTTTGGAAGGAGCATCCCCCTACTAAACATGGGGGGTCCAGGGGGTCTGGAAGCTATAACATTTCAGTAAGTTAAGGGCTTAAATAATTGATTTTAGAGGTACAAAAAAATACTGTAGGCCCAGGCCTACAGAAGGTAGGCCTAAAGTTACTAATCACATTACTGTTAATAATTTATTATTAAATTACTGTATTATTAAAAGTTATGTTCTATTATAAAACCCTGGAACAGTTACTTCTGCGTTGATTACACTTTTATTTTGCGCTAAGGGCTGAACATATTTACGACCATGACCACTGCTCTGCTATTCGCCTTGTGCTTTTCAGTTCCCAAATGTATTGTAGCCACCATGGCTTATATTGAAAAATCGGCCGTACAATTCTCGCAGAACGCATGGCATTGTCCTTTTCTTGATGGATTAATAAATCTGTGGTTTCTGGTCCTCTGTTCTTTGAATTTATTATTCCACCTCGCAGCTTTACTTCGAGGTAAGGCTAGGCCTAGCCTAGCAGTGTTGGATGGGCTAATGTTTTCGGTGCCTACTATATTTCTTCGCAGACCTATTGCAAAATCAAACATGAAAAATCCATCCGCATTTATTTCAAAAAATCAAAATTCAGTCTTATTTTACATTTTTTCATGTTTAGGAATGCCTAAATTTATTTAAATTAGCAATTTCGTATTACATTTATAAATCTTTATAACATATATAAAAATCAGATTTTTCTTAACAACTGAAATCTTGCTGGGAATGGGGTTAAAGAGGTTCTGGCTAATGAGAAGCTCATAAAAGTGCGATATAGCATCAGTAGTTATCCTTAACAGTTGTAACTCTCGGATTTTAACTTTATGCTAATTTCATTGTATTTATTCAAATTTTTAACTGTCAATATGTGTATAACATATGTCACTGGCAATTTTTTAAATGTGAACTATATTAAATTGTTTACCGTTTTATTATATTGATGCATAACCTGTCAGTATTAAAATGTGATTTTACATAATTTTTACTTTTTTAAACGCACAAAAATTATTGTGAGTGCCACAGATCTTTACCGTAAGTGTTTTTTTAAAATAAAGTATTTTAATAATAAAATAATAGTTTGATTTGTACAGCGCATCATGCAAAAAAAAAAAACAAAAACAAACCTTTATGTGCTTGGTGATTTAGCTCTTTGAGTTTTATATTTTGGTAGAGAAAAGCAAAATGATGTAACCCTATAAAACTAAACTTAGATTGGTTGGCCATTGTGCAGCATATATAAAATCCTGGAGCCTACTTTGAACGAATTAACTATATATTTAGAAAAAAAAAATCCCAGTTGGATATTGAATTTGGTAATGTACGGAACGATACTTACGAGTTGTTATAAACCATGTTGCTTGGCTACTACCTGGCAATGCACACCTATCCCCAGTACAAGGGTCAAAACAGTTTTGTTTAGCCGCTCCTGCATCCACTAACAGCTGGTATTTAGAACCTGCTTTTAAATTATGGTATGGGTTATCAATTATCAAGATGTTAGGGTGTTGCTCAGATATTTTAACTTGTGTTTTGTTGGATATATCATATTTAGCAGCTACCGTTCCATTTTCGTCCGTTTCCGTTATATGCTGCACAGTTATAAACTTTTGCTCTGTTGGCCTTATAACCTACAAGATACAGTAAAATCAATTAAACTTAAATAAATTAATGTGTCTGAGTTTCTTGTGAGCCAGTCTAACCAGTTATAAGTTGTTGATCTAACCATGATCTAATTTTTTTGAAAAAAAAAACCATAGAAAAACATTCCCTGTTGATGAAAGAACGAAAATTAGTTGATAAGACTAAGTCACATTATAGTCTGCTATACAAAGTGCTTCTGTATCAGTTTCAAATGTTTAATATCATCACTAAATATATTACCTTATCCCACAATTTTTATTTAATTCAGTTTCTCACTGCTCAGATTATCAAACCTATTTTTTGTAGTATTCTGTATTTTAGTATATAACATAGGCCTATATGTAACATAAACTTACCGCTTTGTCAAATGTGATTTCCCACACATTCCTATCTGGGGTAACTTCAGTCAGGATAGAAGGATAGGACTTACTTGGTAACACATTCGGTGGCTCCTCAACTTTAATACCTTGATCTAAATGAAGAAAAATAGAGTGCAAGGCATAAGTTGAATCAGTACCGTATTTGAATTCCCGGCATAGCCTCATTGCATCTGCATATATATATATATATATATTATATATATGAAACAGAAATAAATTATGGAACAGGAGAGTGCTCAATGGTAGACCAGAGCTGATATGAATTTAAAAAAAATGCTATGTTCATCAGTAGCTTTGATTAGACCACAGGTGGGCGAAGTGCGGCCCGACAGCGATTTTTTTGCGGCCTGCGAAAATAAATTAAAAACTCTATGTGTGCGGCCCGCCAAGCAACATTAGCAGGAAAACACCTTTTTTGACGGCCCGACACCGACCATGTTAAAAGTATATTAAAACTGAGAATAAAGTGGTGGAAAAGCGGTGCTTGGAGGTTTTTGCAAGCACACTGGCAACATCGAAGTTTGGGTGCGGCCCTCGGTGTTAAATCAAAAAATTTTATTACTACTAGTTTTGTGCCACACACATGGTATGACATTCTTCAGATAAAATTGCCCAATTTAGGCAATTTTATTTAAAGAGTTTCACACCATGTATTTATGTCCTTTATTCGAACATTGTATTTACCTTTCTTTGATGATTTATATATGTATATATATAATATATATATGAAGAAGACTTATCTACGTTGTTTTAAAACAATATAGCGTAGCAATATATCATAACTGTAATGGAACTCAAATAAGTAAGATGTTGACTTTAAAAACACTAAAATTTATTGATATGCGAATATTTTGGCTACTGTAGTCTTTGTCAAAGCTTGACATATAATGAACATTCTAAGAGAGTTAAATAGTAATATACTGTACAAGTCGGGGAAAGCATAACAATCGCTAGAGATTAGCTAATAGAAAAGCCAAAACATAGACCTATGATTGAAACCAAGTAGGAATATGAAGCGGAGATTAAAAATAATTTATTAATATATATGGTCCTATATATATATATATATATATATATATATATATATATATATATATTATATATGTGTATATATACTGTCTCTTATACACATCTAGATGTGTATAAGAGACAGGAACAGGAGACCGCGTCGCATGCAGCAAAATCATCATCATGTGGCCTTTTTCCAAGAGCAGGACAATACGAGACAATAGGCCTAATAGTTGAATTGGCTAACGTCAAGACAGGGGCCTGGGCGGGGTGGTATATTTATTCCCGAGACTATTCACAAAAATGTTCCTTACCTGTATTCCTGTATCTAGTCATACTTTATTCCTTCCTGGTCAAATACAGTACAACGAAAGCGATGTAATCTAATTATACGTTAAGCAATAAACAGATCTTTCCCCATCCCCTTCCCCACCTCCTCCCACATATATATATTTTATTATATTGTGGTATGTCAGCGTTTCACTCAGTTATATGAGAGGAAGTGCCTGGGGTGATGTCTGTATACCATCCGTGGTCTAATGGGCATGATATTAGCCTTGCCAACAAGAGTTTGCAGGTTCACATTCCGCCAGAGATACTCTTTTAATACAAGTGAAATAAAGGAACTGTTTGGTGATGAGCTATGCTTGATAGGACTATTACAACATGCTCCTCTTCGAGCACAGTTATTATTATTAATCTATTTGCTTATATAGTGTTTACAGTGCTACGCCGCAAACAATATTTGGATATTAAGTAGACACTCACTTTGAACCAAGATGGTAAGAGTTTCATAGTTGCTGTAATAGCTGTAAAAACAACACCCCAGATATATTAATTTGCTATATAAATATAACATAGACTTGTATTTTAATTAGTAAATACATAATTGATTTTGTCAAAGTGTATTTTAAATATAGAAATGGAAATGTGAAACATTTTATAGGTCAGTGTAAATGTAATATTGTTTAGTAGAATCATATTTTTACAACTTGCGCTTATATGCTACCCGTACTCGTGAAGGTTTTTATTTTATGCCTAGTACGTTTTCATGCACACCCGTTTTTTGTTTATACGTTATTGTTCATGCTTTACTCATAAATCATTAGCACATCACATCATCTTCCGGTACTGTGCATAAGTATGAATAGAGTATACTCATACCTAGCCCCTGCCTACCTTGATTTGTATGCCTATCCGTCACCGTTTATGCAAACTGATCAATAAATACATATCCGTCAAAGTGTATGCCTGACAGACAACTTTTATTCCTATATGTGTGATCGTTGTTGTTTATGCCTAATGGTAATGCATTCTCATTAGCATAGCTTACCCGTCATTGTCAACAGCATGGAAGAGTACAAAGTGTTTTCCGATGTCTGATTCTTTTGGTGTCCATGATACAACCCTGCTATTCTTCTCCTTATCTAATGGGGTCGTTTTGAAATCTGTGTTTGGTCGCTCAATAATAATTTCAGCACTAAAATCAAAGCAAAATGGTAGAAATAGACGATTGCAATGTGAAGTGGGAGTTAGTTACAGTATATAATTTACGATAACACAGGGATGCTTACTTACTCAACGCTGCTGTTCACCTTCAGCTCATAACTCCATTCCTGACCAGGTGTGATGACGTGGCATTTTTCATAATCGCCGAAGTTAATATCTCTGCATTCTATGGAAAATAATACCGAATCGCTAAAATGTTACATAGGAATTGAAATTAAGAAATTTAATTCGTCACCGACACCACGATGGCACAAACTTCAATTTTAACGCTTTTGAAACCCAGACCTAATATTGTAAATAAAATTTTGAATAAGTGTTTTACATATGTAAAGTATTTAGCATAATTAAAATGTGTATTTTTTTTTTCTTTGCTTAATTTTACTTAACCTGGTAATGAACATGAATAATATGTCTTTTTGTGAAAACATAAACACAAAATAACAAGAGTTCATAAGTTTTTACAAGAAAAGCATTTTACTGGTACTGGTAGTGGTATTTGTAGCCGTCTGATTTCAGACATTCGGCAGCCATTGACATTATGTTGGCGTTTAAAAACTGCGTATTATGATGAGAGACCCGTGCACAAACAATTAAACAATTACCAAACATACAAATATGGAAAACTGAATGCTATTTACAAAATTTTCTATTTAATATTTATGGGTGAAACTTTTTTTTATAAATTGGCTTCCATCAAGTTGACTTTCATTATGATGCGTTGAAAAATAAATTTGGTTTTCTTTCCTCTTGTTTCACTGGTGGCATAGTGAAATGTGAGAATTTTACAAGGATCAGCATTTGACATGACTGATCCATTTTGATTGTTTGTCTTGATAGAAGGTCCTAAATGGCATAATGTTTATTATTTGATATAGATTTGAAATCCTATACCTCCAGTCATATTCATCTGTTGTTGATTGTTAATCAGTGTTCACTGTCTGTTTTTTGTTTTGTTTTATTTTTGTCTGTTTTTTGGTCTGTTGAAAAAGCGTAAATCTCATTTTTGTAAATTTCATTTTTTTAGGTTGCTCAGCCATTTTTAGGCACCCTTTTCGTCTAAAATGAAATTAATAAAAGGCCTGTTAGTGACGAACATTCACTACAAACTGCAGGTTTTATAATATAGATCCTATGAATAGAAATAATATAAACTTTGGCTTCAACCCTGATGAATCTGCGTGTCCTAGTGCCAGTACCTGCACGTTTTACTCAGTTATGAGGTTTAGTGCAGTATACGAACAGAAACAGAAATTTGTGTAGGCGTATTGTACCCACCTATAATTTTAAAAAGGAACTATGCAAGCGATATCTCAACAGAGAATTTTGTCAAAATGGGAACTGGCAATTTGGCATAGAAGAAACTCTGGGATTTCAACCTGCCATGGATTAAATGAAAATAACCAGTGTGTCGGCTATCCTAAACACATAGACTAAATATCAGTGTCATAGAAAAAAAAAAAAAAAAAATATTGGGAAATCTAGACGAGACAAGTTCTTCGTCCATTCCCTGGCCATAGCCACTGGCCCAGGATCTCAATGTTTCATTGACGATGAGATAAATAATGTCCATGGAATTATTGTACAAATCTTACCCTTTGATTCGACCCTAAGGAGAAATTGAAGCGGGATCTTGCTGAGAGCGCCACTTTCCAAACGACCAGTAACATTTTTTCGGTGATCTTCAAGAGTGATTGGTACAGCATACCATCCTGATACCATTTGGGACACAGGGAAGGAATAACGACATTCATTTTCGTCGATAGTGGCTCCTTGGACGGGCTTTCCACACACCCTCTTTCTTTGGTCTATTTCTTCTTTTTTTTCTTCTTCTCTTTTGTCTTTTATTATTTTAGGACACTCGTTGTCTTTGTTTGTCCATCGGCACTTTACATCGTCATTATCGGGGTCTGTCACTTCATAAAAAATTTAATTGTGCATGTGTATTATATATAGTATATTAAATGTATTAAGCTAAAGTCCTTAAAAGACAAAATATTTATTTTTTTGTTATTTAAGTAATTAGCTTCTTCATTATTTGCATGAACTTTAAACTATCTTTTTACCATTAAAAAAATCATAGTAAAAAAAGTCTGAAAAATAGAAAACATGTTAAAGATGATATATCTTTAACACTATGTCAAAGATAAGATAATTTCTGGATTTTTAATACCTTAATTGATTGATTGGCATTTATGTGAATTTATACTTGCTATTTATGTTTACCTGGAATATGAATGGATACATCCCCACATCCCTTCATCACAGTGATCATTGCTGGATGAGTCGTTTTTGGAGACTTGTTAGAGCTGTCCAAGTCAACCGTGGTGACCATTCTCCAAGCAAGTCCAGAGGTATCATAGTTATTCAATCCAAATAACCACTGGCTGTTGAAACTGAACTTATCCGGTGTCTGAGAGCGTTGGTACCTGTTCAAGTTGAGATAAATATTTTATTAACCATTATCTTTTCCAAATAATCAAAATAATAACAATAATAATATATATTATAATAGCAAACATAATAACAAACATTATAATAATAATAGTTATTATTATTATAACAATAATAATAATAATAATAATAATAATAATAATAATGATAATTGGCTGCATATTTTGCTTACACATTTACAAATTAGATAAAATGCGTTGTAAGAAAATGGTAATGTGGACTACTGTATAAGTAATCTATTTTATTCAAACCAAAACTAAAACTAATATTTTATCATAACCAAATTCCTTCCTTAAAATCCAAAATATGAAAGTTTTTTTTGTTGTTCAATGCAGCTACATTTGTCTAGGGCGGTCTGATGATTGAAAATCATTTATCTCCATATCTTCCTTTCGGTGTTTCATTACTGTGGAGATCCAATGAACATTATGCATAATATCTCTGGTCTCGTAATTCTTTGACTCTTTTCTGCAAGCCCATTCCTTCCATGGAAAAGCTTTAGGAGACATTATAGGATATAAAAATCTCATTACTGTTAAAGCAGTTTAATTTTCTCAATGCAGACAGGACTCCAGATTGAACAACATTGATTTGTGACGACTTTATGAGTTTGACGTGGTTCAGGCAACATTTTCCTTCGACTCTCTTATCTGTTCGATGAGCACGCTCAGTGTCTAAGGCAATGAAAGCTGATATTTTTCAATAATATATTTAACACCTGAGGTACACCACGTATATAGTTTTGAAGAAAAAAAAACTGTTTCTAAAATGGCTACAAAATAATACCATAACGAAAACTTTAATATTTTGTTTTCCTTCAATATTTTCAGGGATTTCATGAAAAATAATATTGTTTCTTTTCATTCTGTTTTCCATGCTATTTATTTTCCACTTCATACACATTAGCCTAGGCCTACCTTTGAGTCAGCCATTTCTTTCTTTGCAATTTTTTAAAAAGATTTTTATAGTTTTCGGACTCGAGTCTTCTAATTACGAAAATTTTTAGTTTTACCTACAGTTTGCTCTATGATAGACATTTTTTTTCCCAGCAGTTTAGTTTTAATTGTATCAAATTCCTGTAGTTGCACAGTTATATTCTCAAGTTACTTATGAATAGCAATTAACGTTTTCTCCGCCTCGTCAGCACCAGCTGAACCACCTGCCCCAGCCAGGCTAGAAAAAATAAAACACACTTGTTCAATTTTTTTGTAGATTTGTCCATGTTTTCCTGGTCCACCATGCTTCTTGTTCTTATCACAGTATATTTTAAGTGAATATTATAGTTCAAAATTTCAACATTATTTTTGTAATAAAAGGGCTTATTTGAAAAAAAAAAACAAAACGTGGAGCTTAAAGTAAACGTTCCTACCAACTCAACGCATGCTCAGTAAAAATAATAAAAGCATTTATATTGCACTTTACATCCAAAAACAATTTGATTACAGGCGCATTACACTACATAATTTATCAATTAAAATCAATAAAACCTAAAACATTATATACATTAAGAGTGATTGTTAAAACAAATCCATTAAATTAAATTTACAAACTAAATCATAAAATATTTAATGTTGGTTTAAATATTGGATTGGAATGACAGATCAAAGGTATAAGCACCATACAAATTATATTCATTATTTTTTAAAATGAATTATATTTTTCAAATTCATCATAAAATATTATAAACAGGTTTATTAAACAGTGAGGTAAAATGGGGTAAAAGAAAACTTGGGGAAAATAGAAAGAGCAATATTAAATTAAAAAGTTGAGTTTTAAGACTGTTTAAAACTATTTAATAAAATTACACTCTTGTAATTCCCGTGGTAGACAGATTGTTTGCAGCCTTATTGAATGCCATGTCACCAACCTTAGGAAGAACTACAAAAAGTGGTATTGCAGAGGATCTAAGGGAACATGTCGGTTCGAATGGTTCAATCAGATCAATAT